ATATTTTAATAAGTAATAATTATCCATAGTATATCCTAGACAGATAAACCGTCTCCGCTCAAAAACGTTTTTTTGTATGTAATTCTATCCATTACAGTAATCTACTTGTAACCTATTGTACATTTGTACATCAGAGTGATATCCACTTTCCCGCTTTTTATTATTTAAATTTTTTATGAACTCTGGCATATGTTTATACGTCAAAATTAAAAATTCATAAAAAGATTTTTAAAAAAACTACTTTAGGACCTGTTTGGTTTTTAAATTCTGAGTAGACCATTGAATGTATTGACATTACAATGATAAGTATGTCTTTTTTCGTGTGTTTGATTAAATATAATGTAATATAATATAATATATATAATTTAATATAATGGAACGAATTTCTTAATTTAAAAGAGTGTTTTCTGATAGAAAATTGTATCTATAGTTGTTGCTTCTACCAGTAGTTCTTTTGACTTTTGAGAAGTCAAAATTGAACATTTGTTGAATTTTTTAAAAAATAATCGAGAAAAAAAAATTTWAAAAAAATTGGAATTCTTACACAGAATAAACGAAGAATACCTAACGATGTTAGTGATTAATATTGTTTTTTTGTTATTCAAAAATGTTTTCCTTAGGTTTYAAAATTTATAAGTATATTTTTTATGTTTATTTGCAAAATTACAGGTTTAAAACATTTAATTAATTTTAGGTATGTTACTCCCTATTTTTAGTTTATACCACTCGTAATACTTAATAGTTATTAATCAATATATTTATATATGATATAATAAGCCTACAGTTTTTCGTATGCAAATTTATTATGGAATTAAAATTTAACACATCCATTAGTTGGTCATTATAGTCGTTACAGTGACCTACTCAATGACAAGGTACACTTTTTAAAGCCAATAATACTCACGATAAAATTAAAAATGGGACTCCCTTGTCCCATGTTTTAGTTAAAAAATTGCTAATTGTATATAATAATTGCAAATACTATGTTTAAAATAGATGATTTATTTGAATCCTACTGTATCAAACCCAGCTGGAACTACAATACCTAATCATAGAAGACGTGAAATTTACCGATTGGCTTGTGAATATAATATGCTCATTCTCGAAGACGATCCATATTACTACTTACATTTTGAAAAAGTAACTTTTCAGTATAATTATTAACAAACAATAGTTGATTAACTGGAATATAATATGATTTTAGGAAAATCCTGTTAGCTTTTTATCGATGGACACAGAGGGTCGTGTACTTCGATTCGATTCATTTTCGAAAATCATGAGCTCTGGTTTACGTGTTGGATTCGTAACCGGACCCATAACGTTACTGCATAGAATGGAACTACACATGCAAACATCATCAATGCACTCATCATCATTATCACAAGTACTTTTATACAAGCT